TTGTGTGTGTGTGTGTGTGTGTGTGTGTGTGTGTGTGTGTTACTCTTGTTTCGCTTGATAATATTTTAATTTGTTAAAACGTTGGGTGATAAGTTTTTCAGTTATTTATTTACGTTTTTTTTAACATATATTTTGTAGACGAATTTAGTAAAAATGCCTTGAGGTACAACTCAGCAAGGCCAACGCAAATATTTACTTGTGGCTCCGTCTATTGTGGCTATTGTTTAACACTACCCACACACGAGTATTAACATGGTATGTGTGTAGACCTAAAAACTGGAAGTACGGTGTTTCTCAGTGTCACGAATTATGCTTAGCAGTTTTGAATTATATGCATACCTGACATACAACGTATTTAAAAGATATGATCAACATATCATTAAATACAACGTCTCTCAGAGACACACGCTGCAAGATATCACTTTGAATTGCTTTAATCCGAGTTGAATTAAAAATTCAAGTTGTCGTTTTCTTAATGGAAAGGTACACAATGGGACATCCGCAATTTATCCACCACGAGGAATTGAACCCAGGATTTTTTGCGTTGTAAGTCCGTAGACGTACAGCTGACCACCGAGGTACGAAAAATTCGATTACCAAGCTTGTAGTTATAAATATATTTATTGTATATACATTGGTTTGGAGCAACAAATCTTGTTTCCTACTTTTAATATCATATCAGTCCAACACGTAAATATTAACCACGAAAGTTTAGATATGACAAAAATACATATGCATTTTTATTTGTTTCACATAAACACTTCAGAAGCGCCAGAAACAAAGATATTTCTACTGCTATTGAAGTTTTGATGGATTATAGTAGCTTCTTAGCACTGAAAGCGAAACGTCGTCCACTTCTATACTCTTGAAATCCAGCGCACTTGTTTTATACATAAAACTCGTCTTAAACAAGACAGTTTAGATATATATCTCACATGATTTGAACAGAGATTAACTTGCCTAAAATTTGTACAGTATATGGATAATTATTCTATTGTCATTTTTTTTTCGGCCATATTTATTTTCAAGGATATTTTGTAGTTAAACTTGTTCCAATTTAACAATGGATTGTATTAGAACTATTTTGTAGTTAAACTTGTTCCTATTTAACAATGGATTGTATTAGAACTATTAAGAGATTTAATGTTGAGCAGTTACATAATACAATGTATTCTAATGTAATGTTTTAGTCCATGTTACAGATTTTTAGTCCATGGTTACAAATGATACATTAAAATGTTTTTCATAATAAAACCAACAACTTAGGCATTATAAAGTGCTTAAGGCACTTTGTGATCACTCAAGATATTCACCCGCACAGTACAGTTTAATAAAATGATAGAAACAAGAAACATTAGGTTAAATATCTATAAACGTGTGTATGTGATTTACCATAACAAACTGTTTCACATGCATCTAATCAGAGTTTTTAGATGGAGATGTTCAACTTTTGGCTGTTCCTTTTAGGACTGTAGAATTGTACATACACACAAACAACATTTGTATACAGGATGGTCAAATGTTTTCAAAGCTAGTCAAACATTTCTTAATCTCATATCAAATTTCAAAGCTCACCAGTCCATGAACATGTTACTTGACTGATATGCAACTTTACCTCATACGGCTGGACTGTTGGAAGGTGCTTCAGGTATATGCAACTTTACCTCATACGGCTGGACTGTTGGAAGGTGCTTCAGGTATATGCAACGTTACCTCATACGGCTGGACTGTTGGAAGGTGCTTCAGGTATATGCAACTTTACCTCATACGGCTGGACTGTTGGAAGGTGCTTCAGATATATGCAGCTTTACCTCATACGGCTGGACTGTTGGGAGGTACTTCAGATATATGCAACTTTAACACGACTACACTGTTCATGTAAGATGGTTCGTATAGAGACGAAATGAGTTAGAACAAACAATGATAGTAAAATACTTCGGTATTCGTCAAGAAAACATTTACGCAGCACTACTTATTTCTGTCTGTTCCGGTGTTGTTTGTTTTTTTTTCAAAATATCCAGTGGTGTTTCGTTTTTCACACAGAAAAAAACAAAAAATAAGATTGATGTCACGTGAACAATAAATATGTTGTAAAATTCTATATTAATTTATTGAATGTGAAAGATGTATATTATATTTCACTGAAGAGTACTTAGTTCATCGGTCTTGAAGATCTGTACACAAGGAAATTAGGAGTTTTAATTTCACCAAGGGCGCCAGACATTATCCGGAAAGGGAGAATGATCACCAGGAGAAACTAAGAAACTGTGGTCCAGTGGATGCGAAGGATGAGCTTGTTGTGGTTCTCGAGGTCTCCCAACTGATTCATCCGAGCTGACATCGGACGCTTCGCTCGACATGGGGCTCGGGGTTTCTGAACTGAAGTGTTTGTGGGTGGGGCCAAGCACGGTGGAATCGGCTTCGTGCCAAGAAGAGGAAACTGCAGAAGGCACATCCTGATGAAGCGTTGATGAATCCGAATCCGAATGGGTAAGTCCAAGAGCACTAACACTGCATAGCTTCTTATCCAAGCAATTGACAGCACTAGTTATTTTCTGGGGCAACACCAAAGCCAGTTCTCCGTTCGACAAGCGTTTTGGAACAAGATGAAATTCGGCAATTCCAACAGAACAACACCCACAACCACTAGAATTACTGGAACGTCGCTCACCATAACCGTTAGAGGACGCTGTCGTATCTGGACTTTTATTAACGTGGCAACAGTATTCTGTTGAGTCTGAACAAGAGGATCGGCAGTGCTGGATAGTGGCGCTGTAGGTACGGGGTAGAGGAGACAATGAATCAGACTCCTCGTTCTCTGTCTCTTTTATGTTTTTTACTCGTTTTGTTAGGTGTTGCAGAAGGCGCTGCCGGGTGTCTTCTTTCACGCCATCTTGCTTCTTTAGATACAGCTCTACCTCGCGAACACACTCTTCAAACCCGACGAGAAACTTGTTCGTCAGTTGAGGGTCGTTAACCAGTGTGGCTGCATAAAAATTACATCACAAGTCACTACTGAATGTTTCTAAATGTTTATTACGAAAAGCAAAATTTATCAGAAATATGCCACTTTTAACAGAATATTACTCACCGTCGTAATTACGATAAGACTTTTATTCATTTAAGCTTAAGATTTTATTATGCAAATGTGTTTTGGAAATGTTGAATTCTAACCATACGTATTACTTACCTGTTCGTCTTTGTCGATGGAAATCTTGTAGGTGGCGCACTGTCATTTCCAAAATGTCTGCCTTTTCTAACTTGGAATGCCTTGGGTTCTGTGAATGGGATATAAAATAACCTGATAAGTAAGTGAAATAACTACGACGTACTATTGCTGAAGCAAATATTTTAAAAATTCGGTGTTTGAAACGGTTTAAGGATAAAACTAAACAATTATGAAGATGAACTGGAACCATCAGCAGATTATCATCCAAAGACTACGGATAATTCGTCAAGAGGACTTTAATACATGTCCATCAAGTTACTTATTCCCGTTCAAATCTAGTATCATCCAGCATACTGATTTTAATATTGGAATTCACATTCCATTACTACATAGTTGATCGGTAATTTCTTTATTGTACTCAGTTATAATCAACAGGTTTGAGAGTATTAGTTTTACTCCAACTTCGTCCACTATACTGACTAAATAAATCCAAACTACTGATTATATAGCTCCAAGTTCTACTCCAGTACTAACAACCTACTGATTATACAAATCTAAGATTTACTCCAGTACTAACAACCTACTGATTATACAAATCTAAGATTTACTCCAGTACTAACAACCTACTGATTATACAAATCTAAGATTTACTCCAGTACTAACAACCTACTGATTATACAAATCTAAGATTTACTCCAGTACTAACAACCTACTGATTAAACAAGTCTAAGATTTACTCCAGTACTAATAAACTATCAATTATACATATCTAAATTCTGCTTCGTTACTAGCAACCTACTGGTTATAAAACTCCTAGTTCTATTCCAGTACTATCAAAACTACAGATTATACAACTGCAATTTATATTCCAGTGCTATCAAACCTATGGATTAAACAACTCCAAGCTCTATTCCGGTACTATCAAACCTATGGATTAAACAACTTCAAGCTCTATTCCGGTACTATCAAACCTATGGATTAAACAACTCCAAGCTCTATTCCGGTACTATTAAACCTACTAATCGTTTTACTGGTACCAGGTTTCACAAAATCATATTGTTTGAGCAATTATTGCATCAATATAACAAATGATTAATAATAATAATAAATAGAACCAGAAAAAAAAAACAACTTCACAAAAATTCTACTTACTGAGCAACGAAACTGTAAGATATGTTTTGTTTGGAAATGTTCCCGCTATGAGCTTGAAAGTTTTACGTAAAATATTTTCAAAGTTTTAAATCAAGCTAGCTAAACAAAATGTATATTTTTGGCAAAGCTTGTAAGACTACCTGCCGCTATCCCTAATCATGAACTATTGATTAGATAAAAGGCAGCCAGTCAACACCATACTACCCTTTCCTCCTCATCCATCCATGCTAAGGGATTGACTGTCACTCTTATAACGCATCTACAGCTTAAAGTGCGGATAATATTTTGTGGTATCGCACGGATTCGAACCCGACACGCAAACTTAGAAATCCAATGCTCTATCGTATCGCTAACATTTATATAGATTTTAGAATTAAGTTATTAGGCTTACATCTGGTTTAATGGCGTCCAAAAGCAAGTTTTTCATCTCCGACAAACTTTGATTTATTCTTGCTCGGCGTCGCTTTTCCATCAGCGGTTTTGATATCTGTAATGCATGAAACAGTCTTTCAAAAACGAGAATCAGTAGCTTGTAGTTTTATCCCATCTCAAAATATCTCTGAAATCGAACTAAAATATAGTTAAATGTATTTGATGTTAAAAAAAATTAGTCACTTGGTGACTGAATCAAATTCATTAATAAAAAACACATATCATAAAAAAATTAACAATAAAAGCCACATTAAAAAAATGTTTTTAACATTCAGTTGCCAGGGTAGCCAAAATACTTCTAAAACCAACTGACCCAGTGGGTCAGCGGTAAGTATACGGCCTTATAACGTCAAAATCTTGGGTTCAATTCCCCGCGGTGAACATGGCGCAGATAGCCCATTGTTTAGTTTATCGGTAATAAAACTATAACTCTTTGTTACATTTGAAATCTCTTCTGGTTTTTAATAACTACAATTTTTTATTAATATTAAAGTACAAGTAGCAATAGATAAGGTCCTTTATTAGCATTAAAGTACAAGTGGCAATAGATTAGGTCCTTTATTAGCATTAAAGTGCAAGTGGCAATAGATCAGGTCCTTTATTAGCATTAAAGTACAAGTGACAATAAATAAGGTCCTTTATTAGCATTAAAGTACAAGTGGCAATAGATAAGATCCTTTATTAGCATTAAAGTACAAGTGGCAATAGATAAGATCCTTTATTAGCATTAAAGTACAAGTGGCAATAGATTAGGTCCTTTATTAGCATTAAAGTACAAGTGCCAATAGATTGGGTCCTTTATTAGCATTAAAGTACAAGTGGCAATAGATTAGGTCTTTTATTAGCATTAAAGTACAAGTGGCAATAGATTAGGTCTTTTATTAGCATTAAAGTACAAGTGGCAATAGATTAGGTCATTTATTAATATTAAAGTACAAGTGGCAATAGATTGGGTCCTTTATTAGCATTAAAGTACAAGTGGCAATAGATTGGGTCCTTTATTAGCATTAAAGTACAAGTGGCAATAGATTGGGTCCTTTATTAGCATTAAAGTACAAGTGGCAATAGATTAGGTCCTTTATTAGCATTAAAGTCAAGTGGCAATAGATTAGGTCCTTTATTAGCATTAAAG